AGAATTACTTCAGATACCGGAAGAAGAGTTTGTAAAGATAACAGTTGATTGTTACACAAAAGTTATTCGTATAAAAAAAGATGATTGTTTTGATACAAAGGAAGACTTGAAGATAGCTTTGTATACGAAATGTGTGGAAGATGGCTATCAACTAAAAGTTAACAAATCAAGTAAAGATTGTTTCGAAACAAAATGTATGATTGACAAAAACTGTACATGGCGTATGATTGCAAAGAGGATAAATGATTGCGAAATGTTTCAAGTTAGGACTTTTATTGATAAACATACATGTTCAAGAACCCAAGTTTTTCCGCACCATAGATATGCAAACAAAAAGGTGTTGGGTGGTTTTCTGGTTGAGTTAATGTTTTTGAATGACTGGGTATATCGGGGACATGAAATTATGACTGACATGAATGCTCGGTTCAAGATTAGTATCTCATATTCTCAAGCTTGGAGAGCCAAATTTTATGCCTTGGAATTGTTGAGGGGGTCTCCAGAAGCATCGTTTGCCCAACTGCCGGCTTATTGTCACAATTTAAAGCTGAAAAATCATGGGTCGGTAACTCATATCAAAACAGATAGAGATGGACACTTTGAGTTGTTGTTTATCGCCATTTGTGTTGTGGTTAGTAAATCAATATAATTTTGTTAACTTATTTTTGTTAGTTACATGCATTTCACATTTAAATGATTATATTTCTTGTGTATATTATTTTGTAGATTCGTTTGTTTATTACTTGCATGCGCCCAATTATTATAGTTGACGGAGCACATTTGAAAGATCGATACCTTAGAGTAATCTTATTAGCAGTAGCCATGAATGCTAACAATGGGATACTGCCAATGGCTTACGGGGTTGGCAAATCTGAAACCTCTGATTCATGGACATGGTTTATGAGGCATTTTAGAGATTGTATAGGTCCTATTAGCAATCTGACAATCATATCCGATAGGGCAAACTCAATTGACAACGCTGTTAGAACGTGTTTCTCAGATGTTTTTCATGGACTTTGTGGTATTCATTTATAAAAAAATCTAAAATCAAGGTCTGCTGGTATAAAAAATACAAATAGACATACTGGAAGGCTGTAAAAGCTTATCGGGAAGTGGATTTTAATAAACATATAAATTATTTGAGACGTGTTTTGCCTCAATGTGCTCAAACACTAGAAGATGTCGGGTTTGAAAGATGGTTAAGAGTATATCAACTTGGAGTAAGATATGGTTTCATGACGTCTACTAGTGCAGAATCAATCAACGCTCTAAGTTGTCCTTCTCGAAAATTACCCATTACTATGTTAATGAAGTTTTTTCAAGCTTCTATTCAACAGTGGTACTACAAGAAAAGAAACCATACATGTATTATGTCTTTAAATTCGTAACTTATCATATTTATATATTTTACTAAGTATTATTTATTTAAATTTACAGGAACATTGGAACGTCGTGTTATACCATGGAATGAAAAAAAGATAATGAAACGTGTTGTGAAGTCAACGTCATGGAGAGTTGAATCATGTTCAAACACTTTGTTTGAAGTATTGGATAATAACTTAAATGAGCTTGTCGATCTAAATGCAAAGACGTGTAGTTGTATGAAATGGCAAACATCTGTTATCCGTGTGGCCATGTTATAAAAGTTGCTCTTCATCTAAACCAATATGATTCAAGCACATACGCTATGATTGCTACACTACAGAAGTATATTGACAGACTTATGCCAATATTGTCTACCCTATTCCACATCCTTCTGAGTGAGACATATCAGATGACTTACAAACAGTTTTGCCACCAGTCATGTATAGCAGGCTACCTGACCGACCAAAAAATCACGATCGTATACCGTCTAAGGGTGAAGAGAAGAGGATATCGACATGTAGTCGGTGCAATGAAAGTGGTCATACAAGGTTGACCTGTGGAGCACCAGTGCCATCACAATCATCTTTTCCTCTACCAAAATATGAATCCTCATCAAAATCCAAAGCTCATATGGTGTCAAGCAAAAGGAAATCAAAATCGCAATCAAAATCAAAATCCCAATCACAACTGGCTTCACCTGGACTTATTAACTTAGGTGATTTTTAAATGAAAACGTTGTATTATGTGTATTTTATGTGTGAATGCATACATTTTCAGTTAGACATGCGTTAGTAACTTGAGTTTGAACATTGTTATGATTTGTTCAGTTGTTATCACTTATCAGATTGTTGTCTGTTATCTTTTTGAAGGTGTTTTCCTTGAATTCGCAACGCGAATTTGACTTTCGCGTTGCGAAAGTGTACCTTCAACATGTCTTTTTTGCCTTCAACATAATGCAGATTGAAATTTTCTTAAACAACAAATCAACTTTTACAAATCAATTAAACAAGCAAAAAACAATTCTTATTTACACATCTAAAATAAATAAATCAACAGCACACAATTAGCCCCAGACATCAAATTTCACGCAGCTCACTTCAGGAATAACCTGCATAAACCAAGCATTTGCTTCTACACATCTAAAACCAACAAAGAGCAAATTATTGAATTCTAGGTACTTAACCAAACATTTTCAAACCAACAAAGAGTATATATGTTAACAACACTTGCTCAAACTTACCAATAACAAATGGTTGTTTATGCACACTTTCAGCACGCGGATGCAGGTAGAAAACGTATCGAATATATCGCTCTAGCCATAAAATGACGAAACCAAAACCTTACTACACCTCTATCTCTATCTGTGGGAGGTAGAAACTATTTACATCTTGTCGTCAAACGTTCCAAGCACATGCATACAAGAGGACCACAATCCCCTCTGGCTCCCACCGTTTGTTGTGGCACTGTCTCGTCTCTCATCATTGTAACTTTGAACTTTTTTGGCTTATTGTTTCCAGAATTAGTCCAATAATCAATCGCATCCAAGTATTTAGCCAAATGAGCTCTCCATCCCTTACAAATAATATCTTTCAAATCAGACAATGGTATGTAATTCAACATGATGTCATATACTATCGTCTTCAGGGATGGGAGCTGAAGCTCGAAGAGAAGCCAATGGCGACGTTCCATAACAAAGATAAACACCTACAATCATAAATAATAATTCAATTGCGCACATCAAATAAAATTTATGAACACCTTTAAAATATTCAAAAATAAATACTAACCTTATCGACCTCCCACCACGCAGGATAAATCTTAGCTTTTCCATTACCCAACACATATGAAGCATCTCTCTGATCCTTCAAGTGAGCTACGTGAAAAGACGAAGGCATAATAGTCCATCGCGTCTTTTTTATTTTCTTCAATTTCCTTATAATCAGAAGACGTGACACCCATGCATCAATATTATGTGGATAAAAAAAATACATATATTAGTGAATTTAACAAATTTTTAAAAAATAATCAAAATACAATATAAGAAGAATATAAGACTTACTCCCCATTCGAAATAGCCATTCTCTTCAACCCCTAATAAAACACCCCACCAAGACCGATCAAGAAAGAAATGCATATTATCGTCAATTTTGTATATGTCGGCGTAACACCCCTGGCTCCGCTCATGTAGATAAAAATCAACTGCGGTTTTAACCCAAAGGGTATTATCCATAATTGTGTCCGGTAGTGTTCTCTTTTCCTGCTGAGGAATGGTACTGGTCGGTAACTCATACGAAAGCTAACTCTCATCCATCATATCGGGCACGTGGGGGGTTTATCAATATGTCGACATAGTATACCATGTGAATCGGGCTCTTGAACGATGACAGGTGCCTCTTGAACGGTGGGAGGGGCCTCTTGAACGATGAGAGGGGCCTCTTGAACGATAGGAGGGGCCTCTTGAATGATGACAGGTGAATCGGGCTTTTTCTTACGGAGTCTTGGCACTATTGTGGGTAAAAGGAGACGTAATGGCACGTGCACGATGTCTGATGCGTGAACCCCATCGTGTAAGAAAAACCCGACGTAAAGCATCTACCTTATCGGGCCTCTAAAAATAAATTAATACATAAATCAGTAAATAAATAAATAAATAATGTCGAAAAAAGGTTATTTGCATTTTTAGTATAATATGAAACAAACTTACCTCATTGCATAGAGTATAAACCTCATTATGCAACGATGAAACAATCTCACGTAGAGCTGCTACCTCATCACGTAAAGTAGATATCACACCACGTAAAGCACCATTGTCATCGCGTAAAACATGTACCTCACCACGTAAAGACCGTACCTCATCACGCCATGCACCATTATCGTCACATAAAGTACCGACCTCATCACGCAAAACACTAACCTCATCACGTAACTCCCCTAACTCATCCCGTGGAGGTGGAGAACAAGGAGATAAATGTCGTGGCATCTTTGCCGGTTGCCTATCATGAGGTGATGGTGGAGAAGAGGCTCGATAATGTGATAGAATAGGTGATGGCTCTCATTGTGGAGGTGTATAATCGGCTCGATCAGGTGATGACTCTAGGTGTCGAGCTGTAGAATCGACTCGATCATGTGATGACTCTCGAAGGAGGGGGTGCTCATCACCCGTCCCATAAAAAAAAAACTTACTAGCTTGCCACCAATCAGTGGCAAGCTCAACCTCTGTGGGTGTCAGCCTCTGTAATGGATAGTTAGCCTCCTAACAATATAAAAGCTCAAATAAAGTTAAACGTCTACTAGTAATAACTTGTTTACATATGGTAGTATTTCTGTTAACTTACATCATTCATCGTCATATATGGTAGTAAATCTTCCCAATCCAACAGTCGTATCCTCCTCCTAGTAATAGCCCTAGGAATATCATTTGAATTTTTTCTTGCATATATCCGCATGCTAGGAAAAAGCCTCAAATATCCAAATCTACAAACAATATAATACACAAACATTAATAATTTTTAAATAATTAATTATAATTTTGGATAGATTATATAGAAATTCTTACCTTAAAGGCCCGAATAAAGCCTACCAAAGTGTATTTGGAATCATCGCCACGCAAACTACGACGGTCCTCAAAGGCATACGACAACTTTTTCCAGGTAGCTTTCCATAGATATGAACCCCAGGAAAACACGTTCCATGCATTTAGGTCCTCTACCAATAATATTAGGTCCTCAGAAATAGGTTGTCTGGCCTCTTTGCCTAAAAAGTCGGCATTCAAAAGCAATAAAAGGCATACTCGGACAACATCAAGGTCATCCATCTGAGTAAAACCATCTTTAAGAAGTAATCTTTTCAAGTCGTCGACGTGTAAACTGGGCTTCGCCTCTGCCAGCTCAGGAAAAACCTAAGATAACCATGATAGGCGGGCGATATGACTAGTGTACCGACCTACTTCATCGTGTCTGAAACGTAGACCAGTGATTAAGCAAAACTCCTCCCGCCCAAAACAAGTATACGCCGGTGGAAAATGAAATCATATCTCTTCATCACCACGTTGTATCCTCTCAGGTATATCGTTAGTCATGGTCTGAAGAAACAAATGGGTCAACATAGCATCTCCACCTGGATGTTGTACTTTCAACCATGGCCCGGAGTAAGTATCCTCAAACAATTTTCTTTGTACATGTGTAAGTGTCGACGCTATTGTAGTAGCTAGGCTTAATTTATTCCTTAGAGTTAATGAAGACGAAAAACAATAAACATACCAAAAACTACAAATTATACACTATAAACAGACATGATATTAAACAGTGAAAACAAAGGCAAATATGTTTCAAACTAGCACGGTATTCACCCAAGTCATTATTCTATCATAGTTTTTTGGTTGAAGTAATGCAATTCATTCAAGTTTCAATTTGCAGAAGAAGAGTAGTTTCTGAAACTTAAATTCATAACGCGAAAATGAAAATCGCAATGCGAAACTAAAATCACGTTGCGATTTTCGTGTTGTGAATTTCGTTTTCGTGTTGCGAATTTAAGTTTCAAAAACTATTATTCTGCAAATTAAAACTTGAATGAATTGCATTACTTCAACCAAAAGACAAAACAAAGAAAAATACTAACTTCACAGGGTTAAAGACTAAACAGTTTAGCAGTATTGGCAGCAACCGAATGAATTTACTAAGCAATCTAAGTGAAATGGTTAATCTATATATTGAAATTACCAGTAAATTTATCATCAATTTAAATATGAAAAATCTAATAATGATACAAAAATTTAAAAATAAAAATAATTAAAAAAACTAACCCTCGGTGGTTGATTTTCCATTTCTGGACGTGAATGGTTGTGAGGGTGGCTCTGAGAGATGGAGATAGACGGATTTCGCTGGAGATGGGGACGGATTTCGCCGTAGAGAGTGAGAGATGGAGATGAGACTGAGTTGTGATTTTGGGTTTTAGGTTATGAGTTGCAATTATACTGTTTACATTTGTGTTGCGAAATTAATATTGTGTTTCGAATTCGAAAATAAAATTCGCGTTGCGAAAATAAACACGCTTTGCGAATTTGACTTTTGTGTTGCGAATTACAAATTCGTGTTGCGAAATTGGAAATTGTGTTGCGAAATTGGAGTTCGCGTTTCGAATTTGTTGGTCATTTTCGTAAATCCAAAAAAAGTTGATTAAAATCGTATATTATAAGGCATTTTCGGTCACTGAATTTATATTCTCTTTAATATATATTTCAAAATTTATCCATTTAAAAAGCATAGTCAACTTACACAAATTTGTATTGTAAGTCGACTTGAATTAATAAATTGCTTTACCTAACATTTTTTGGAATAGGCTTTGGACGTGCTTATTTTATAATCTGGATTGCACGTCTCAACCGTATGCAAAGAAAACAAATCATATACCATTGATTCAAGCTCACAACCACATCCTAAGACTATTTATACAAAAAAAAAATCAATTAAACTAAGTAGAAGACCTTAAAAAAACATGTAGGGGAGGTTGATTGAGAAGAAACATTACGGGTTGCAGCCTAACAAGTGATCACTTAAAAGCAACCTTCTATTCAATTATATTCATAATAGGGTTTAAGGTTTAGGAACTTGAACGTAGAATCAAGATAATTACTTTTCTCTTGGTTCTCGACCTCTTCATATTTTCGATTTAGAATAAATATTATGACATCAGTGAATCAAAGGGAGTTCAAAAATCTAAGTTAGAGAGGAAAGTTTTAGGTCTTTTATGCATAAATTCACCAAAAAAAAATTAAATGATGTTAACGGGCGAGTGAGAGAAAAGAGAGAAGTTCAAAAGTCGAGCAATCAAAATACTAATATAGATAAACTTGAATGACTAAAAACGTGGTTTACCCATGAAAATACAAAAGATTACTTTGATGTGTATAAATATATATATTTGACTAATGGGAGTAGTCATTTAGACAATTTGACTGAGTGCAGACTTTGCATTCCTACCAACAAATTGATTAATTTTTAATGAATTTGATAGATTGTTTATGAATGCGAATATCTTATATAAAACAAATTATTAATTCGTCAAATGTTAGGTGAATATGCCCATATTCCTAGCATGTTTTTTTTAACATATAATAGTATAGATTGTCCTGATGATTTTATTAACATGGGATGTGATTGTCATATACCGATAGCTTGGGATGAAATTTAAATATTCAAAAGTTTGAGGACCAATTTAGAACATGAGTCATAGTTTGGGAAAGAAATTGAAACGTTAAAAAGTTTGAGTTCTAATTTAAAATAAGATGCATAATTTGAGAATAAAATAAAAGTATTTAAAATTTTATTGATAATTTAAAATGAAGATGTATAATATAATTAATTCAAAAATGCTAATTTTAAAATAGATGAGCAAGGTAGGAAGGAATATGAAAGATCCTATAAATATGTGAACTACAACACAATTGTATGCTCATAACCAACCAGCTCAAGACAATGAAGTTGGCTCACTTTGCTTTGCTTCCATTTGTTTTAGTTGTCCTGATCTCATTGATTGGTTCAACTTTTGCTGATCCTCATGGGGATTTCCTCAATTGTCTTCATCTTCGTTCAGCAAACTCTTCCACCATTTCTAAAGTCATTTACATGCGAAGCGATCCCTCATTTTATTCTGTTTTGAATTCTTACATTCAGAACACCAGGTTCATCACACCAACAACCCCTAAACCCCTTCTCATCGTCACGGCACTGCAAATATCCCATATCCAATCAACAATTTATTGCTCCAAGAAGCATGGGTTGCAGATTAGAATTCTAAGCGGCGGTCATGATTTCGAGGGTCTTTCTTATGTTTCCGAAGTTCCATTCGTCATCCTTGATTTGCTCAACTTCCGAGCAGTTAAGGTTGACGTGGAGAACGAAGTTGCCTGGGTTGAATTCGGTGCAACTCTAGGTGAATTGTAATACGGAATCGCTACTAAAACTAAGACCCTCGCCTTCCCTGCTGGTGTTTGTCTGACGCCAGACAGAATAGTGATTATCCTGTAGGCTGGCTCTGACAGACGATTCACAAGAGAAAATTCGCCCAAAAACCAGAGAAAAAGTCTCTAGGGTTTAATAAGATATTATAAAATCAAAACTGTCAAAAAGCAGTCCACAAGCCGGACTGTTATAGCAAAAAAAGCGTCTTTATTCGAATTTTGCCAAAAATAGCAAAATCCCGAAAATCACTCTAAATTGAAATTCGAAATAAAATAAGCAATCTCCCAAAAATCCGGCCTAAATCGGATTTAAATTGACTTCCTAATTAACAATCGAAATATTGCCATAAATAGTAAAAAATAACTAAATCTAGTGATTCGGAGGGGAAAACGGCAGAATTTGAGGTTGAAAAAAAGGCCACATGGAGCGTAGCTCAATGTGGAGAGCGTGCGCGTTGAAAAGAGCTTTCCGGATTGGGGTCTTATGCGCATTCTGACACCTGTAGCCAAAGTTATGGCCAAAAGACTGAAACATACTCAAAACGACCCCAATGAGGAACATGTCACAATCAATTCCCGTCTTTGCGCTGATCTGCCAACTCATGGTATCTCAGCGCCATCAACGTGCAATCTGACAGCTCAGCATCATCTGTCTCGGATCCCCCTGCATCAGTCACCCCGGGTTGGAAAGAACTCGTCCTCGAGTTCAGAGTAGTGTCATCAGGATCCACAAAACAATGACTCAGGTGCTTCACATTAAAGACATCAGAAGTCTTCAAGTGACAGGGAAGTCGCAACCTGTAAGCATTATCATTGATCTTCTGCACGACCTCACAAGGTCCAATCTTCCGATCCTTAAGCTTATTATACTCACCAACAGGAAAACGATCACGAGTTAATACAACCCAAACAAAATCACCAACATCAAAAAGTACCTGACGACGATGATTGCCGACCCGAGTCTTGTACTTGGTATTGCTCTCATGAATGGTCTGTTTCACCTGCTCATGGATACCCCGAAGATACTTTGCCATCTCATCTGCTTTAGGACTGAAACGTCCTATACGTGGAATAGGGGCTAAGTCCAACACCCCGGATGGGTTCTGACCATAGACAATCTCAAATGGGCTTAAACCTGTGGTTCTGTTTTTTGATCTGTTGTAGGCAAATTCTGCCTGAGGCAATGCCAAATCCCACTGCTTCGGCTTCGTTCCTGCCAAACACCTTAAAAGGTTTCCCAAACTTCGGTTCACCACCTCAGTCTGGCCATCCGTCTGGGGGTGGTAGGCGCTACTGAAATTCAACTGCGTTCCCAGTTTCCCCCACAGGCTCTTCCAGAAATGACTGATGAACTTAGTATCACGATCTGAAGTGATGGATCGAGGAATACCATGTAAACGCACAATCTCCTTGAAATAGAGATGGGCAATCCGGTCAGCATCCATAGTCTTTCTGCAAGCTACAAAATGAGCCATCTTGGAAAACCTGTCAACCACAACAAAGATAGAATCAGAGGCCCTTTGGGTGCGGGGTAAGCCTAGTACAAAATCCATGCTGACATCGAACCAAGGAGCTTCAGGAACAGATAAGGGAGTGTACAATCCCGCATTGGTGAGAACTCCCTTAGACCGCTGGCACACATAACAACGGTCCACATAATGGGCCACATCACTAGTCAACTTGGGCCAATAAAATTCAGAAGAGATAAGGGCCAATGTCTTATCTCGGCCAAAGTGTCCCTCATTATGGAGTTCACTTATAATTTGCTGCCTCAATGAACAATCTGGAATGCACAATTGTAATCCACGAAACAGATACCCATTATGCAAAACAAAATCATGACGGTGACCCTCAGTTACCTCCTGAAATATCCTTCCAAAGGAAGGATCAGCTGCATACATATCTGTGAACATCTCAAATCCTGCAACTTTAGTACTCATGGTGGTGAGAAGTAAGGTACGACGGCTCAGGGCATCTGCGACGCGGTTCAAACTCCATGCTTGGTGCCTCAGCGTAAAAGTGAATTATTGCAAGTATGCTACCCACTTGGCATGACGTCTACTCAGCTTGTGTTGGACATTGATGTACTTCAAGGCCTCATGATCGGTAAACAGAATAAACTCCTTCTGTACTAGGTAGTGACGCCAATGCTTCAGGGACTGAACTATGGCATAGAACTCCAGATCATAAGTGGAATAATTTTTCTTTGATCCCGATAGCTTTTCACTGAAAAAAGCAACCGGATGACCTGCCTGACTCAGAACACCACCAATGCCAACGCCAGATGCATCACAATTTACCTCGAACACTTTGTCAAAATCTGGAAGTGCCAAAACTGGAGCCTCGGTCATCTTCTGCTTGACCAGTTGAAAACTGGCCTCTGCCTCCTCAGACCACTGGAAATCACGCCCCTTGAGGCACTCTGTGATAGGGGCGATCAGAGTACTGAAATTTCTAATGAATCGACGGTAAAAAGACGCCAAGCCATGGAAACTTCGGATGTCATGTAAGGTTCTTGGTCTGGGCCACTCCAAGACTGCATCTATCTTTGACTGATCTGCATGAACACCATCAGTAGACACAACAAAACCAAGAAAAGTCACAGAAGTAGTGAAGAAAGAACACTTCTTTTGATTGACAAACAAGCACTCCGTTTTCAGCATCTCAAAAACAGC